ATAATACAGACATCAAAAAAATAATAAGGAAATACTACAACAGATTGATTGTACACACAAAAATTTGATAACTTAGATGAATAGACAACTTTCTAAAAAATCATAAACTACCATAATTCACTCAATATGAGACAGTAATTTGAATAGTGCTGTTAGCAAAATTGAATTTAAGGTGACTTATACAGCTATAATAATCAAAACTGTGGCAGGAGTGGATAGACACATAGAGCAGTGGAACATAATTCAGAACCCAGAAACAGTACCACACAAATATCCTCAACTAAATTTTCAAGTACAAAACAATTCAAGGGCAAAAAATAACTATTTAAACAAATGGTGTTGAAGCAACTGGCAACCTGTAGGCCAAGGAGGCTGGGAAAATCTGGGCCTTGTTACATCTCCTACAAAACATGGATCAACATCTTTAAAATGTAAAACTAAAACTTTTAGAAAAGAAAAAATAGAAATCACCAGAATCTGAGGCTACACATAGTACTTAGTGTGATCCATAAAAGGAAAAACTGAATAAACTTCATCAAAATTAAAATTTTAATTATGGAAAAAGCTAAGATAAGAGGATAAAAACACAAGCTAAAGATTGGAAATGGATAGGTGTAAATTATACATCTCACCAAGGACTAGTATTTAGAATATATAAGAAACTTTTTAAAAAAGCTCCAAAATAACAACAGTAAAAAAACAAAGAATCCAATCAGAAAACATACAAAAGACATGAACTGACATTTCACAGATGATGACTAAGTATACAAATTGATGCTTAACATCATTAATCATTTAAGGAAATGCAAATTAAAACCACCATAATATATTACACATTTTTTAAAATTTTTATTTTATTTTATTTTTAAATTTTTTTTAAAATTTGATTGATAAACAGATAGCAATGAGACAGTTTCAAATCAAATAGGAAGTACAGTTTCAACAAATAATACACTGAATATATTCTTCTTAGTGGTTAATTGCTGTACAAGATGCGGATATATTACACATTTAAAATGGCTAAAATAAAACACATGGACGACACAAAATGCTGACGAGGCTACAGAGAAACAGGATCACTTGAACACTGTTGGTGGGAATGTAAAATGCAAAAGCCCCTCTGGAAAACATTTCATTAGTGTTTTGGTTTGTTTGTGCATTCGTTGAGATGAGGTCTCACTATGTAGTTCAGGCTGCCTTCAACTCACTATATAGCCTAAGGAGGTATCTCAGTTACTTTTCTCTTGTTGCTGGGACCAAATACCCAGCACCCAGAATTAAGGAAGGAAAGGTTTATTTAGCTCACAACTTGTGGAGGTTTCAGTCCATACACAGCTGGCTCCAAGGCAGGGTTGGCACATGGCAGAGAGCAGCTGTTCATGGTGGTGGAAAACAGCAAAATGCAAGAGCAAAAAGGAGGAACAGCGGCGGCGGTGGCAGAGGCAGAGAGCAAGCTTCCCTCCCTTCTTTATATTGTATTCAGGCTATCTGCCCCAGGAAGGGTGTAGCACTTACACCTATGATCCCAGCAGCACTCACACCCATAATCCCAATATTGAATTATGAATTACCACAAATTCTAGAAGTCTGTCCCATGATTACATGAGGCTTTGTGGGGACAATTAGACACAAACCATAACAGGTGGCCTCAAACTCAGTGATCCTCTTGCTTCTGACAGCTGGGATTTGGGGCCTGAGCCACCACTTTGTTAGTTTTATAATAAAATTAAGCACACAACTCCCACATAACCAACATCTGTATTCCCAAATTTATCCCAGCAAAGTGAAGACTTATGTTCATACAAAACGTACATAAGCATTTAAAGCAGCTGTTTATAATAATCCCAAATAAGAAATAAGAGATATCCTTCAATGATTGACTAAACAAATGATAGTATATCCACATCATGGAATATTATTCATCAATAAGGGGAGTAAACAACTAGTTATTCAACAAGTTGGAAGATTCTCCAGAGAAGTATGCTAAGTAAATAAATGCCAATCAGAAAAGCTATGATGACCCAAATTTTTGTGTGCCTCCATGCAAAAATGAACATGACAAAGCCAACCCCTAATATGTTAGAATTAAGAGGTGGGATCATTGAGGAGTGGTTTATTTCAATATCATGAAAGCAGAGCTCCTTTAATGGCACACAATAAGAAGGAAGCCTTCTACAAGCCTGGAAGAAGGCCCTCACCAAAAAGTGCATCTACCAGCACCTTGATCTTGGGTTCTGAGGCTCCAGGGATGTATGTGTAGTGCTTAAATCACCCATTCTCTGGTATTTTGTTATACCAGACTGAACTAAGACAATTAATAGAGTTCCATTTATATAACATACTAAAGCCAGCAAGAGGGATCCTGTGGAGACAGGAATGTTCTGTCTTGACTGTGTCAATGTTCATGTTCTGCTTGTGATACTGTTTCAAGTTTTATAGGATAGTACTGGGGCTACAATTATTTCAAGTTGAAAAGCTTAGTAAGAAAAACTGTTTAAAAAAAGAAAAAGAAAAACAACTGTATATACACATGTCTGAGGCATACTTTATAAACAACTGTGTACATACTATTTGCATACACATGTAAAGACTAGAGAACAAGTAAAAAATATGAACAAAAGATAGTTCTAAGTATGCTAATCTTTCAAATTTCCTTTCTGTTCAAAAGAAAACAATGGGAAATGGAATAATCTCTACTAACCCTTTACTTTCCTATTTGATTTTGTTTTGTTTGCAGTACTGCAGGCCATACTCAGGGCCTTGTCATCCTAGGCACTGTCTGCTGTTTTGGTCTCCCACTTGAAATGTTATGTATTGAGATTAGTCCTGTCTGGCTCAGCTCTTTACTTCCATAAGCAACTATACCCTGGAGAAAATGGCAATGAACCCTGTAGTACTAGCCTCTCAGGAGCAACTTAATTTATTAAAACATATCTTGATGACTAGAGATGCAGTATGTTATATGGTAAAATTTAACTGGGAAAAAATGTTATCATCACCAAGCTCAGCATTATTTGGAAAGTGGGTAGTTTCACACCTCTCTGTGGAAAGGAAATTGGTTTTTCACTTTTCTTTTCTAAAGCATGAATTTATCTACTTCTCAGAAATAGAACAACAAATGACATTGCTGAGCTGTGAGGTAACTCTTACTCTACGCTGTTCTGGGAAATACAGATGTGTGCCTGGTAGTCAATAATACTGATTCCAGAGCCACACATAAAGGTTCAAACTATAATACTAACAAGTTACAAGAGGTGAACAATGGCGATGTTAATAGGAGTATTGTGGGGCTTTCAGTGAGGATTTGATAGTACAAACATAAAAGCCTAAGTACAATATAAGAGGTCAGTACATTTGCCATTATTATTAAGAATTTACTATTACTTTAGTAAGACAAAGTAACCAAAGCTTACATTTTACAAGAATGATTATTCACAAAATTATATTAAAGAAATACATCATCTTAGAATCTAATAAAATCATACAATTTTTCCCCCCAGCACCAGGGATTGAACTCAGGACCTTGTACTTGCCAGGCAGGCACTTATGCCACTGAGCTATCTCCCAGACCCCAGAAAATCAAAATTATAAAACTATAACTATAACATTCTAAAAATTTGCAAATTATGATTCCCATATTTATTTTGGTCTAGAGACATTATGATGTCATGGAAAATAACCTGTTATTTAGGGCCAGCAAGATGGTTCAGTGGATTAAGTGCCTGCTTAGGCAAGTGCAGGGACCAGGGTTTGATCCCAGGCACCACATGCTGAACCAGCCACTGAGAGTGGGTGTGGTGGTGCATGCCTACAATCCCAGCACTGGGGAGGTCAAAAATAGGAGGATCACTACAAGTCCAGGCTATATAGTGAGTTTATACAAATAAACAAACAAACAGTTATTTAAAATCCACAACGAATGAGGCCTAAACTCTCCCACTTTCTAGGAGAGCACTGAACCTGTCTTGACTGTAAAAATTAATGTGGAAAATCTATATAAGAATATTTCATAAAATTAAACGACTGAGTGACATTATCAAAGATAAGTTTTCATATCAGCTGTATGAAATATCATCTATTACCATGAGACCTGTCACTTTGACAGAAAATTTCTGAAGATAATATTAAATAGTTAAGAAAAATGTAAAAGATTTAAAAAATGGAGCCATTGAAATTAAAATTTCTAATATATATTTACATAAAATAAAATTAAAATGCATATATTTCTCAAACTATTTCCCTAGAGATATCTACAGAATTTTAGGGAGCCTTACATTTGTACCTTGGAATCTGTCAGCTTTTTATCCTATATAAGCCAGAAAACTGGCACTTATAAAAATAGGGTCAAAAGGCCTTGCTTGACTAACATGTTTAACACAAACATTTCTGGGTTTGGTTACTGCATAGTTATTCCTTCTTTCTCTGCAAATCAGTGCCTCCTCTGGCCTTGGAAGTGCAAGTGCCATGCTATATATCAGCCAGGTGCAAAACCTCTCCCCTCCTTAATGCTGTCTTTCTTAGTCTTCATTCTCCATGGCAAAATTCTTCCACCCCTACCGTCACTACCACACTTTAGGCATGTATCATACTCTTTGCCTACAGTAATGGCACCACCTCTCAACTGTTGTGCCTCTAGGCTCTCTGCACTTAAATCCCATTCATCACTGCTAAATTAAATACTGATTTTGCTGCATTAGTCCCTCATCAAAGACTTTCCCAGTGGAAGAGACTGGAAGCTGAATCATCAGTCACCTGAAAATCTAGAAGTAGCCTGACTATCACAGCAGATGACAAACCATCATCAAAGCCCTCAAAGAAGAAAGATCAACATTAAGTTCACTGGGATCCATGTCCATACAAAATGGAGATGCAGGTCAAAAAGATAAAAAGAGGCTCAATTAAGAGGCAAAGAACTTATTTAAGTACACAGGCAATTACTGACTTGACAGCTGAAATGACCAACTATGGGAGAGCATATCCTAAAATTGAAGGAAACTTACCTGGTAGAGGCAGGCTGCTGTTCCAAGGAAAAATGCGATGATGTAATTAAAATCCTCACCATCACTCTGAAAAACAAAATAAAATAAAAGATTTCTTTTTTTTTTTTTTTTCTGCTGGGAACCTGCTTCCAACAAATAATCCACCAAGACAGGACATGATAACAGGTACGCACAGTCAAAATTATTATCAAGTGATACATGAAAGTCTCTAGAGTCCCAAGATGGAAACATAAGATACATTATAAGATCCAAGGGATGGTAAGCCAGGGAAGACTATAAATATTTCTCTGTGTCTTGGCCTCCCCCATCAATTTCATTTCACCTGAGAAAAAATGAAAACCCCTAGGGGAAGTTCCCTCATAATGCACCAAGCCTTTTTCCTGCTAAAGAAACCACAAAAAAATGCATATAGTTACTCCTGATCATGAGGGTAACTACTTGGCTCAGATAAAAATGGACAAACTTCACTATCTATGAAGCACACCACTGAATTGTCCAATAAAGTAACCTGACTTTTTTTTTTTTTTTTTTTTTTTTTTGTGGAATCGGGGATTGAACTCATGCTCTTGCGCTTGCCAGGAAAGCGCTTATTTCACTGAGCCATCTCCCTGGCCCCCTGACATGATTTTAGAAAAGAGAAAAACAAAACTGAAAAAATACCATCCACTAGAGTGTGCTAAATCCCAATGAGAAAAATCAGGGACTAGTCAGCCACAGGAGCAATACTAGTAAGAAAATAAGTACTCAGAGGAAAACCAAAGCTGGATTGTGCATGGAAAATTTCTTTGAAAAGAAAATGAATGAAAACATGTAACCACCAATGCTCTTTTCTATTTGTTTTTAGTTCTTCTTAAACATATATATATCCATCAATTTTTTAAGTGTATTTATGAAGTAGAATGTATTAAAAAGCTAGAAAGGGTTAAATTTTCTTAGTACAGAAATATTAAATTTGGCCTCTTAGAAAAAATGTATTCATACAATGAAAACTTCCACAAGATGTAGGAAGGCCTCACATGACTATGACTTCATAAGAGAAAGAGGAAATTCCTTTGGCTCTGCTTATTGGACCACAGAACTGTAGATGCAATAAAGAGTAAGTGCCTTGCTTATGCTAGAGAGATCCTAAAATAGGAACCATTAATCTGTCTGGATGCTCAGGCCAGTTCTACCTAAGACGCTGGGAAGGTCAACATGAAACTTAGAATTCTAAGACCTTAAATAAGTTCCACTTGATTTTTTTTAGTCCTTAATTTTTTTAAAGACCTTTTCTTTCAGATTATAAAAGCTCATGTTCATGGGAAAGAATGTGGAAAATACAGATTATGCAATCACAACTCTAGAAGAATTACTGTTGGTCCTTTAATGATCTTTCCCTCCCATCTCCCCTCTCTTTCTCGTCTCCCTTTCTCAATCTCTACATGCATACATTTTAAAGAAATGGAACAATACTTTTGTATTCTGGCTTTTAGTACTTCATATTATAAGGTCATATCATAAACTTTAATATATTATAAACTTTAAATATATCATAAACACTTTCCCAAGACGGTAAATATTCCCCAGGGACAGCATGTGTAATGATTCATAACCTTTTACTGCAGGATGTACCATAATTTAATCATTGTCCTGTTTGGATATGATTCTTACTCTAAATTTATAGTATCACTTAAAACCCTTAATTACCTTTAGAACAAGTTAGAGCATCTTTCTAGATCAGCCCTGTGTTGCAATCATTACTTATAGCAGTATTACTTTTAGATCAATCATTTAACTTACTTTGCTCTTTTGAAAAATAAGTTATAGAAATTAAGTAAAATAACATTTGCAAATACAAAGGAACTATACACAGTGATTAACTCAAAATCCTTCAAAAAATCTCTTCCTATGATTACTGCATTTATTACTCATCTGATAATCAGATTACCGTTCAGTATTGCTTAGATTCCTAGTGTACTGATCTTACCTCAACTAGATTTTTTTCTTCTTTTTTTTCCTTAGCGACAGAGTCTCCCTAAGTCACCGAATTACTTAGGTTGGGCTCTAATTTGTGTTCTCCTGTCTTAGCCTCCCAAAGTGATAGGATTATAGATGCTTGCCTAATCTTTCTTGAAGGCAGAAAATAAATCTTACTACTTGCATGAAACTATGTACATAGTAGGAACACAATAAATGCATGCTGAACTGAACTGGACTTTGAAAATCTTTAGTTCTACTTGATAAAAAGAAGATAGTCTATAAACATTCTTCCATCCAATATATACTCATTAAGCACTGATGAGCCATGTACTATGTTACCAGACCTAGCACAGAAAGCAATTAAGTTTTTACCAACTCAAGGAGCTCTCTCTCTAATAAGGCAGAGCATAAATCAACAATTCCCACTCAGAGTGGTAACTGAAAAGTGTAAGGAGGATGGTGTGGAGCTCACTGGAGATTCATCTAATTCTGCCTGACAAAGAAAGCCAGCAGAAGGTTTCCTAAAGGAAGTCAAACTTGACCTAGATCTTTAAGGATAAAGAGAGACATGGCAGGAGGACTGTGGGCAAAGTGGGTAACATGTACAGTCTCAAAGAGGGCATGGGCTACGATGACTTCAACATTTCTTGTTTAAGCCATTATTGAATAGTATCCTGCACTAGGCTGGGAATACAGAAATACAGAAAATGACAGAAAAATACTAAGCTCATTCTGGACAAACTGTTTTGGAGTTGCCAGTGAGACCTCCACACTATTAGACATTTAAGTCTGCTTTAGGAAATCTAGTTTGGTAGTCAATTACCTCAACAGTCATTGCAGGAAGGTCCCATGAAAATCATGTGTAAGTCTCAATTCTTGGTTGGCTCCTAGATGAGGAAGGGGAACGGAGAGAGAACTATAAAGGGCATCTTGGAGGCAACTTGGAAATGTGAATCCAGATTTTCTAATAAACAATACTGTACCAATCTTCAATTTCTTTAGAGTGAAAAGGGTATTGTGCTTATGTGAGAGCATGTCTTAGTCCTTAAGACATATACTTTAAATAATATTTGAATAAACTGCAATGGTGCTTGCAGTTTTACTTTCAAATGATTCAGAAAAAAGGGAAACAGGAAGAACGAAAGGTAGGGCATAGGTGATGCTAACTGTATTATTCTTTAAAATTTCTGTAGGCTTGGACACTTCAAAGAAGATAATGGGCAGTATGAAGGAAAGATAAATACAAAGGAAAAAGTGTTAACATGGCCACTGAAAATATCAGAATAGATCTTAATGTACTGATATATGTGACCTACATACTGTGTAGGGAAAGAGATACAAATCAGTATTAATACTAATCACGATTTGCATAAAAATTTTAACAGAAAAATTATATAAATACATAGATGCATGTATCTGGCACGTAATTTCTTTAGAAGGATATATAAGTAGTTGATTCTTTTTTTTTGCTTTTATTTTTTTTTTGATAACAATAAAATTCTTCATAGGAAAATTTGCATGGGTTTAGGTACACAATTTCTGTACAAGTATAGGCAGACATTATCAGATTTGTACTATCACATACATATGTTATCTTTATGTAGTATTTCAAAGCTTGTAGACCAAAAATGTTATTTTTTTTTCAATAATACA